CAGCCGAGACGGCTGCCACGGGGCAGGCCCGCAGGCAGCCGAGACGGGGAAATGGTGCCTGAGCCCAGGTCTGCCGGGGCGTCCCCAGCACACAGCCGACACGCCAGGGGCAAGGGACCCAAGGGGCACCAGCGGGGTGGGCATACAACGTCCGGCTCCCTCTTCACGGGGGCTTTTCCTGTCCACACTACTGCATCCGAGCAACTGGCCATGGTGCCGACTCGGGCCGTCTCGTCAGCGAGCCCCGCCATTCCCAGGGATCTTCTCCACAGGAAACCCTCAAACGGGGGATCTTGTGGGCCCTGCCAGCCCGGGAAGGCGGGAGGGAGCATACCCAGCCCCTTCAAGGTCAGACGGCCCCGGGGGAGACTGCTCCCCTAGCAGGCAGGGCGTCTGTGGCTGCTGACACCGCTGGGGGCTCCCCTGCACAGGGAGGTGACGCCGAACAGAGGCAGGACCAAGTCCAGGGGCCATTGTCCCCACAGCCAGGGCTCAAGCATGTTGGCCTCCTGGCCCGTCCTTCCATGTGACCTTTCCTCAGTCACAGTTGGTGGGAGACCTTGTCCACACTCGGAAACCCCCATTCCCTGCACCCCAGGGGTCCAGCCACAGACGGGGAGACGGGGCGACGGGGCCACAGCATCGAGGCCTGTGAGGCGGCCTCAGCCATAGGGCAGTGAGGGTCACCACTCTGCCAACAGATAGGCTGACCAATGACACGGAACGTGAGCAGGACACGAAGCAGTGTCACTAACACTATGCGTGCCAGGAGTGGCTGAAACTTACATTTTTAAAACACAAGCAAATGTCAGAGAGACCCACAGACTGACTGACCTGTCCGTACACTGAATCAGAGCATGGAGGTCTCAGCCCTGCTGTCCCTGTCTGCCGTCTGTCCCCTGCCCCTCCATCACCCAAACGAGATGAAGGCAGCCTGGAAAGGGCCACCTTCATTCCTGTGACCGTAAGGTATGGCTACCACGGCACCCCTAAGAGGGCTGCAGGGGCTGAGCGGGGTGGGTGCACATACCTGAGAGCCGCGTGCCTGGGAGCCGGGCCACCTCCGCCTTCGTCTCCCCGTCGGCCGCTCTGAGCTGGCCGCCAGGGGCTTCCTTTGCCAAGTCCAGGTTGACAGGGGTCTCCTCGCTTACGGACAGGGTGGTGTGTGTGCTGACCACCAGGATGCCCAGGCCGACCCAGAGCACCACCTGGATGAGACAAAGACCCCACAGCCAAAGAGGTCAGGAAGGGCCCAGGCCCCGCCCTGCCCGGGGAGGAGGGAGGCAGAGCACGAGGGGCCTGGGCACAGTGCAGGAAGGCCCACCTGCCGGCCAGTCACACAGGCCACTAGGAGACGACAGTCCCTAACTGATCAACCTGACTGAATCATCAGCCAAACCTGCTGGAGCCGCGCTGGCACTGTGAGTAGGGGCAGCGTGAGAGGGGCCTGGACAGAGGAGTATGTGTGTGTGGCACAGAGGTGCTGGCTGGCTGAGCCCCGAGCCCACCGGCCGGGCCTCCCCGAGAGCCTGGTGGCACCTACAGCTGCAGAGGCTGGGCTGGTCCCCTTGATGGCTTTGCCTGGAGATGCAAGAATCTCAGGGCTGCTGCCCAGCTGGGGAGGGGTGGCCCGCGCACACCCACCACCTCGGCCAGCGGTAGTGAGAGGGCCCAGAGAACAGGTCTCCAGTTCCTCAAAGCCCCATATGGAGGACTTGTCCCTAATGTCACCCAGCAGGTTGGACATACCCAGAGCTGCTGGGTGCAGATCGGGAGACAGCATCTAGGTGGTAGCTTCTCGCCCACCCTTCCTGAGCTAGGGCGCCCACCGGTACTGCCCAGGGAGCAGCCCAGGAGGCACTGCTGCTGGTCTGAGGGCCTCCGCCCTGCGCTGTCCTTCCTGCGAAGGGCCCGCAGCTGCCAAACGGTGCCCAGGAGGGAATCCCATGAGCCGCCCAGGAGGGAATCCCATGAGCCTGGTTCCCCAGCCCCCAGGGGCAGCAGCAAAACCCCTTCCACCACCAGGCCCTGGTTTGGGCCGCCCCTAAGATGGTTTTAACACAAAGACAAAGACACTAGGTTGGTCATTTTATGTCGAGTCATTTTCACGGGACACCATTTTTAGGACCCATCTCCATGGGACACTGACAAGCTAAAGAAAACATCGCATCCATGACTCTGAATGACTCCTATCAACCCTCAGCTTTCTGGGCTTAAAGAAAAAACTCGCACGCAAAATGAAAAACACTAACTCTGTCAACACTGGGAGACGACGAGCTTCAGAAACAACCAAAAGCATCAACTTCCTGCCAGTTTAAGAAGAACGGCCCGCACAGCACCAGGATGTTCCAGAAGATGAACCCAGCTCCACCCAGTGCCACGCGCACCCCCCACTGTCCCCGCCCAAGACGCGCTGTCCCACTTGCACAGCGCGTCTGCCAGCTCCACCCTGTCCACGAAGACGTGCACCCACGGTCTCCCACCCAGCGGCGGCCCCCCTGGTGCCGAGACCTCTCGACTCGTCTGCTGACACACCCGGCTCGCAGGCTGCCCCTGGGCTCTGCGGGGCACAGGCCAGCCGACCGCTGTCTGCGGGGTGAGCAGCCGCGGGCCCAGCCGGCACCTCCGTAACGGGCCCAATGCCCCAGCTCTCCGCTCTCGCCCTCTCCTCTGAAGAAACAGCACAGGCCCACGAAAAGCCCCAGGCAGGGAAGCAGAGCTGCCCCACGAAGAGGGCTGTGGGCTTAATGCCACACAAGTATCGGTGTAGGGCTGTGACTGACACCAAGCAAATCTCGGCCCCCAAGGTGATGACTGATGCACGAGAGACACCTTGGGAGGTGAGTCAGCAGAGCCAGGGCGGGAACACGGCCACAGGGCACTCCTGGAGGGCAGGGCGTTTAGAAAGGACACAGGTGCCCCGAGGCAGCCGTGACATTTAAGCCCTGACCGCAGGCCCGCCGACATAGAACCAAAGTCCTACACAGCTCCCGGGTCCCACCGCTGACCGCGTGCAAACAAGAGCATCCCTCGTTCTCCCAAAATCCAGGTAAGGAAGGGCCAGCCAGGCACGGCGCTGCCACAGCCTCAGGACAGGGAAGAGGGTGGCCCCCCTCAAGCGGTCTCACCCCTGAAGCCACGAGCACGGCCTGCAGAGCCCGCCTTCCTGCAGGAGTCTGCGGGTCCAGAGAGCAGCTCGGAGCCGGGCCAGGCGTCCGACTCCAGAGCCCTGGCCACGTGCGTGCTTCTCAACCCCGCCGCACACCAGCAGCGGGGAGAGGCGAATGCACGCTGCCGGCACCGCCCAGGACTCCCCCGTGGCCTCGGGATCCACTAGGGTCCCTGGAGGTAGGGAGACAATGCTGACGTTCATTCCTGGCACCCGAGACTCGGAACAATGCACAAGTTCCAGTCCTGCCCCTCAGTAATGAGACGCACACCTGGAGGCAGGGCTCTGGCCGCCCGACAGCCACGCCCCGATTTTCTCATAGCCCCTCAGCGCCTCCAGCTCCCGCTGCTGGCTTCTGGGCAGCAGTGCGTCAATTCCAGACAGGGATCCCCCCAAGTACCTCCAACCTGACAGGACTGGAGAACCCCTGATTTCTCTGATTTTCGAGACAAAGAGGGAACTACATGATGGCAGTTCACAGTTCTTGCTCATTCTTCTGAGGACATTTCTTGGACCACCTGATGCACCCTCACCCATGCCCCCCTCTCCTGGCCCATCCCAGAGCGGCACACACACACGCTCACACGGACAGACAGACCACCCCAGGGCTGCTCGTGACATACCACCCAGCACATGTAGTCGGGGTGGGGGGTGAACCTTCACCGCCCTCTCCAGGCACGGTCAAAAAGTGGCTAACACAATTCAGCGTCTTCTTAGATTTCAAAAACCACTGTAAAACAGGCACAGTAGATGCTTCATTAGTTCAAGTACGTGTGTACGCGAGCAGGCGTGTAAGTGTGCACACTCACATCTATAAACCGAGCCAAAAACCAGCATCAGCCTCAGTGGGTAAACACTAGACACTGTCCCAAGCGAATCAGGAAGATGACAAGCTGGCCCCTCACGCACCGGCGCCATGGCCAGGGTTCCGAGATGACACAGAAAGGTAACATTCGGAAAGGAGGAGGCGCAACCAAGAGATGCTGTAGAGGCCCGGGAAGGTGAACAGGTGAACAAGGAGCATGTGAAAGTCTACGGCCTCCTTTTATGCAAACAAAAACCGGTTAGAAAACCCAGGGGAAGAAGAGACCCCAGAAGCACAGCAATGGGGGTCCAGCGACGGGGGAGCCATGAGTAAGCCGAGGCCACGCCCTGATACTGCCCAGGGAGCCGCGTCCGTCCACACCGCTGGTCGGCCGGAGAGTAACGACACCGATTCCTTCTAAATTAATCTACAGCTTCACAAATTCCAATTAGACCAAGACACAAAAAGCTGGAGTTATTTTTAAGAGTTAGATCAGCTGACTTGAACCTTCAAACGTCACTAAAACCTTGAAACGTCACTAAAACCGGCAAAGAGGAGGGATTAGAAGTGGAGCGTCTCAGGGAGGCATCCAGCGCGGGGAACGCCGGCTCAGGCCGCGGGGATCAGAGGGGCGTGGGAGGGGCGTGGCTGGCTGGGCACGGAAGCCCCACGCCGGGCCCAGTGCGCCGGGACCCGACCGGGTGGCGTGGCAACACCTCGCACCGGTGATGGATGATGGGGTCGGACGATGAGGCAGCCTGTGTCTCACACCGACGCAAAACGCAGGCGGATCAAAGATTTAAATGCAAAAATGAAGTCAGAAAGTAGAACCGAGGGAGGCGTTTCCAAACGCTGGAGCGGGGGCCGTCCTCCCCGGCCATCCTCCCCGGCCAGCCCCAGGACTCAGACAGAAGACCTGACGACTGGAAAAAGCATTTGCAATTCAGCGGGAATGCACTAATTCCTCGCGTTGTGGGGGTTCCTGGTGCTCTGGCTGTGGCGGAGGACGGCAACCCTAGAACGAGGGAGGGTGCACGCATCTGGTGCTCCCCGGGACACGTGCCAGCACCAGCCGCGCAGCCGCGCAGGGACCAGCTGCCGGGAGGGTGAAGGGTAGCAGGGAGCTGAGCCACCTGAGGGCAAAGGCACCTGGCCGAGACCTGAGAAGGGCTACGCCCCGGGAGGCAGGGCACACCAGGGCCAGACCCACCGCCGGTGCACACAGGTGGACAGAGACGAACACCACGCAAAGCCCCAGAGGTTTCTCAGTGTCCACCAGGCACCAGGTGACAGGGCCAAGTGACAGAAAACCAGAAAACCGCAAAGGATCGGCATAAATAAATACTATCTGAAACAATCATGTCTCGTGGAGTTTTAAATATGTGTAAAATTAGAAAACGTGGAAACAATAGCTCTGAAGGCCAGAGGAGGGTGCGCAGCGATACAATATGGGATCCTTGCCTCGTCTGGGAAGTGATAAATAACCAATTTACTACCAACTCTTATAAGCCAGGGACTCAAATTAAACTGCCCTGCATTACCACCAGAGCAGAAATGTGCAACACCAGCTAACAGGAATAAAGAAAAACTACTTAAAAAAAAAAACCAAAAAACAAAAAACAGGAAAAGAACAGATGGGACAAATAAAAAACAAAGAGCAAAATGGAAGCTTTAATTCCTCCAAAATCAGCAATTACATCAACTGTAAGTAACCTGAAATACTCGTATCAACGAAATAAAACAAAAGCTGACTGCGCGCTATGGCAGCAGACTCACCTGAAATAGGGGAGCAGAGTGAGAGCGAAAGAAAAAGGATGGAAAAGCTACACGGTGCAGCTACAAACCCCAAACGAAGCTGCGTTAGCTACCCTACAGCAGACAGGGCTGACGCTGACGAGCATTTCCAAAGACCAAAGGAGCATTTCACAGGAAAAAGGGCCCGTTTCACAAGATCTAACCATCTCGAACCTACATGTTGCTAATAACGTGGCTCCAAAATAAAAGGCGAGAACTGATAGACCTGAACGAATCCACAATTACAGGGGGAATCATCAGTCCTTTCTCATAACGACAAACAACAAGATTTAAAAGTCAGTAAGAAGACGTAAAATCTGAAAATCGCAGTTGGTTGACCTGACCTAGCCACATAGAGGGCACACGGCTTCCAACAACTGCAGACTGCACAGCACGGTGACTGCTCACCAGGATGGACCACGTGCTGGGCCACAAAGCAAGTCTCCGCAGATGTCAGAGGACCAAAGGTCCTCAGCTCATGTCCTCCCACCACACCTGGATGATGCTCATAATCAATAAAAGAGATTACTAGGAAGTCTCCCAAAGCTGGGACAGCTAAAGCAGCCGTGGGTGGAAGGAGAGGTAACAATGGAAATCAGAAAAGGCTGAGAACCGAAGGATGATGTCACCCGTCCGATCCACAGCCTGGTGCAGCCGCAGTCAAAGGCCCCCGGGCTGTTCTGGAGGAATCCGACAAGCCGATTCTAAAGCTTAGAGATGCAAGGGCCAGCAACAGGAAAGACACCCTGAAGAACAACAGAGCTGGGGCACTTCTGCTGCCCAATGCCAAGGCTCAGGAGAAGGCCACAGCGATGGAAACAGGGCAGCACTGCTGCAAGGGAGACTGACCGTCTCCCTCCTGCACAGGTGACGCGTGACAGCGCCATGAGGAGTGGGGAGCCGATCAGCGAGAGCCTGGAACCTCAAGGTTCTCAACAGAACACGGGCCTCGCCCTACCTCCCGCCAACCAACTCCAGAGGGAGCGCCGATCTAGATGGGAACAATAAAATACAAATCCTCCAAAATCACATAGGAGCCTACCTCCAGGACCTTGGGATAAGCAAAGATTTCTTAAATCACACATAAAAAGCACCCAGCAAAGGAAAAAGAGCAATAAACCAAACCACACTAAAATTAAGAACATCTGTTGATCAAAAGGTGTCATTAAGGAAGTGAGAAGGCAGCCAAGAGGCAGAAAAAGCATTTGCAATATGTCTCTGAAAAACACTCGTATCTGGAATCTTAAAAACTCCTACAAATCACTAAGAAACAGACGGACAACCGAGGAGATCAGAAATGGGTAAGAAGACACCCCCCCCATGGCGACGGGGCACAGAGAGACCCTTAGCCTCATCAGTCCCGTGGGGACGGAAAGTTAAAACTCGAAAGAGGGACCACCGACTACACACCCACCAGAAGGGCTAGAATTTGTAGAAGGGAAAGGAGATGTAAAAGCCGCCAGAATTCTAATGTGGAAAAACGGAAAAAGTTTGGCAAAATGCACTAAAGCTGGGTAGACAGGACCCAGGATCCAACAGCCCCCCGCCTGAGTGAATAACCCATCAACTGTGCACACACATGCGCACCGGCGAAGCTGGAGCAGCCCACACGGGACCCCGTCCACCCCAGCAAGCTGTGCTTGGTCACAGGGGGCTGTTGCACGCAGTGAGGACCAGCTACCCGCCCGCCCCCTCAGCGGCCTGGGTACACGCGGACGTGCTGCTGAGCGAGGTGGCCAGACACGCAGACCCGTGCTGTGGACTACACTTCCGCCAGCTTGAGGGACAGGTAACATCACTCCAAAACATTACAACACAGACGCGCAGTAATCTCTGGGGAAGCTCCGGGTGCTGGAATGTTCTGTGTCTGCCCTGGATGATGGTTCTGTGGCTGGGTGCGCTCAGCAAACGTGACCAGACATGTGACGTCACTCTGGCCTGATGAAGGGGAAAGAGGCCCGCGCTGGCTCGGAGCGACGGTGGCTGAACTCTGCGCAGGCGCGGGGACCAAAGCCATCGGGCCACATACGCTCACCCTCGGCGACACAGGGATTGTTTCCAAAAGCATCCCCTAGACACAGCCTCAGACACTTGGGGATGGTCAGGTACACACACCCGTCACGGGCTGCCTGTGTCAGCACGACTGGAGAGTGACTCCCTCAAAGACAGTCCCCAGCAAGATGGTAGGGATGGGGACATGGAGTGTGCAGCACACACGGACACACGTTTGGGGAACAGCTGGTTCAGTGCTTGACGTTCAGATGAGTGAGCGGGTGCGGCACCCATGCGGGGCCCTGGGAAGCTCCGCAGGCGCACGTGCTGGTGCTCGGGGCACGCGCACACAGACACCGCACCTGTGCTAAGGAACACACCTGGTGTGCAGAAGCCCTCGGGGAGCACACCCCCCCCACTGGGCCCAGACTGACGCGGGGGCGGCCGAGGCCCGCACGGCACTCACCTGGGAGGAGAGTGTGTTCTTGTGGACTTTCCTGTAGATCAGGGCCGGGCAGATGAAGCAGATGAGGCTCCCCATCGTGGCACCCGTGAGACCCAGGATGGTCTCCACTGCGGACGAGACACGGGGTGAGCAACCAGACATGTGCCTTCAGCAAGCACTGTGGCCGAGCCGGCCCTGCTGTGGACGGGAACCTAGGCACGGCTCCAGGGCACTGGCCACAGCGGAGGCACACCCTCTGTGCCACCGGACACCAAGCAAAAGGACAGCGCAGGTCGAGGGGCCGACGCTTCTCGCCTGAGACCGTGCGCCTCAGTTTCCTCGCTAACACTGCTCCCTCCACGGCCGTGTGACCTCGGGGAGCAGCAGGACCCTGGGCTCAGCACGGTGCGAGGCCCACTAATGCTGCTCGACTCCCCGCCAGGTGTCTGGGCACCAGCGGGGCTTCTCTTCAATCACCCCAAACCTGGGGCCAGCCCAGGCCTCCTCCCCCGCTGCTCCGTGAGTGACCGAAGGGGTGTGTGCAAGCCAGGAGCCTGGAGTGTGGGGGCCTCCACAGAGCGACCCGGGGAGGGCGTGTGCGGGTTCCAGTGAGCTCTGTCTGTCCGCAGGAACCCAGCCACCGGGCGGCCCTCCCACTTACCGTTCGGGATCATGATTCCGCCGACCATGGTTCCGAACACAACCGAGAGGGTCAGAGCCTTGAAACGCAGAGGTGGCATGTAGCCCCCAGCGGCAAAGGTCCCGTCCTTTTGCTGTGTGACAGAAGAAACAAAGAAGAGGTTTTGCGATGGCCGGACCCCTCTGCCACTCTGGCAAGCAAGCCCGCGAAGGGCCCACGAGCACCCCAGGCAGGTCTCCCCAGAGGCCCCCTCAGATATGGCCAAGCGACCCGGAGGTGAACCTGTGACCCAGACCCGCGAGGTGCCAGGAAGGCACAGGCTGCTCCTCACGCCAGGCGGGGACATGAGCGCGACAACCGCGGTTTGGAAGGGTAGTCACAAGCCGTTTTCCTTCCAGAACGACGCCGTGAGATTGATAAAGGTGCCACACGGTACAGAAAACGGAACGCCAAGCTGGCGCCAGGCGACGCCCGCGGGGCTCGGAGCAGCCACACGCTCGGGGCTGCACTGCCACACGCTCGGCCGCACCCGCCTCGCCTCGCCTCCGGCAGCTGCAGGGCGCACAGGCAGAAGGAAGGGGGAGGGCGCGACACGGACACCAGACCCCAAGCCCCACCCGCGGCCTTGGCTCCCTCGCCCGTCCACGCCAGGGTCAGGCTGCGGTGAGGGCCAAACGAGCTCACAGGAGTGAAGCTTCTAGAACAGTGTAGGCAAACAGGAGGGGCTGACCGTGAAACTACCACTCAAGTGAGGCTTCAGAACCTTCCAGAACTGGAATTTCAGGCCCCCAATTTTCAGAATAGACTCTTGCGTGGGCGGCTCACGCAGACCGAAGGGGCTGGAGAATTTCCGCCCGCCCTCGGACGGCAGCTGGCACACAGCCCAGTGAGGACAGGGGCCAGGGCTGTACCTTCTGGCCCGGGAACTCCTGCCCCGAAACTCGCCCGGGAAGGACTGAGAGGAGAGGACGAGGGGAAGCCGCGGGCACGAAGGCTGTCGTGGCCGCTACCGGAGAGGTCAAGGGCGAAAGGCTGGCACCGACCAGAACATCCGACCAGGGGTGAAGGCCCCAGGGCGCAGAGATCCTGTGGGTCTCCATGGAAACAGACACCCACCCACGAGCTACAGACAGGAGCGGACAGTGAAAGGGGTGCTGCATGCCTGTGAGGGGACGCCGGCACCGAGCGGACCCCGTGGGGAAGGGCCGTGGGGGAGCGCGTCGCCTGGTGTAACACTGGCCCTGCCCGACGATTAAAAAATGATAAACATGTGCTATGTACAGACACTGTTCAGATACAAAGTACGTGTCTGCACCAAACTGCGAAAGACGGAAGCCAGTAGCCCACAGGAGGGAGGCCAGGCTGGACTTCGGGGGAGACTCCATGGCCACATGAGATGCTCCGCCATCGCCCCCCAAGGAACAAGGCACGAAATCACTCCCGGCTTGGCGCCTAGGTCCTGAACAGCTAATGGGGGTGGGGGGGAGTCACACCAGAGAGGGAGGGCAGCCAGTGCCAGGGCTCCACCTCTGCTTTGACGTGCTGTCTCTGATGGCAGAACCTGTGGGGACCAGCCCACATGGAAGCTGTTCCGGCCAGAGGCCCACCCTCCCCCGTCTGGTTGCTGGACACTTCCCTGGAGTCTCTGGGACCAAAGCAGCCCTCCTACCTGTACTGGGGCCTGGGCACTTCCAGTGGAGCCTGTGTGGCCACCAGGACACAGACTCTGCCCCAGAGAAAAGCCGCGGGGCCACGGGCTCCCAAGACGTCCCTGGACACGAGCTGTTACACATGCGCCTTGTCCACTCGGCACAATCAGAGAGCCCGAACAGCTGACGGCTTGTAAAGGACAAGGCAGCGCCGTGTCCGCACACAACGCTGAAGGAGACGAGCCTCTCTCGTGGCTCAGGTGTCTCACGGCCAATTGTTAAAACTTTCGGATACACGAGCGGTGCACCAACCCAGTGCCCGTCAGCCGACCGAGCGTTATCAGCCAGCGCCTCCACGTTCCCACCCTCCGCACCCCTCAGGACCGCTCGGAAGCAAGCCCCCGATTTCCCGCTCCTTCTCTGGGGAGGCAGCAGTGCGGCTGGGGAGCCATGGGAGATGGGCCCAGGCTGGACGCTGCGCCTGACCCATGTGACTGTGATTCCATCCTTACTTGTCCTGGAGCGGCCTCTTTTCTACAAAGTTGGTTTGTTTTTTTTCAATCCCTACTAAAAGATTTCATCTTAATTGAAAGTTTTTTATGTGTAGCTTGGAAAGCCCGCATACCACTGCCCAGGAAAAAAAAACAGCAAAAGCCAAGAGAAGAAAACATAATTAAGACGAGGAAAACCTCGTTCCCCCAGGAACACCGGGAACCTTACCTGCTGCTCAAAGAGCAGCGTGTTCAAGGCCTGCCGGCAGGGCAGAATCATCATGGGGAAGCCCACGGCCACCGACATCATGAAGCCGGCGCGGACCATCTGCGTCACCAGGTTGGAGGGGAAATGCATCAGCACGTTGCCGGCGATGGCCTCGGTGAAGCTCACGTAGCCAAAGAACCCCACCTGCCAGAGGACAGAGCGGAGGGGCGTGTGGTGGGGCCACACCCTCCCCCGAAGGGGTCGTGAGCCCCTCACAGCAGCTTCCACAAGGCCACGGGGCCCTCAGACTCCTGGCTCGTAAAACGCCCTCCTTGGTAAGAAGTGTAAACGCCTGAAGGTGAGAGTCCCATGTGGCTTTTCGTGAGGACAACACGGCACCCAGAAGACGGGCCTCCTGCACGAAAAGGAAGGAGGGGGGATGCCCCGCGAGCCCTGCGTGCAGAGGCCCGAGCTTAATGTGGCCTGCAGGCCGCGGGCGCCGTGGGCACCGCGGGGTAAACCATGGTCCCTGCGGACGGAGACGCTGCCAGCAACGGTCTGCATGGCCCATTTGTAAAGGTGGCAAGAATGCGAAGACCACGAAGTTCAGGGAAACGAGCCATAACCTTAAGCATGTTGACAATTTTATGTACGAAGTAATAAAATAACAAAAAGGCGTTATGGACACTGGGAATAGACCCACGTGAGCTGTCACTGCGGGACGGAGCTTCAGGTCATCTCCCTCCCTGCTGACCACAGCCCGGCCGCTCATTCACAGACAGGCCCCTTTCTGCAGGGGGTTAGCTGTGAGAGGCCCCCCAGGCAGCGCCATCGAGACACCAAGGCCACCTGGGGTGGAAGCGGCTCGCAGGCAGCCCTGGAGTGGAGTTCAAGAGCAGGTCTACCCGCGGCCACCAGGCTCTAGGAGGGGACAGGAGCAGAAGGCGGGCCTGCACGGGGAGGCAGGGTCACGCTGGGCACCGCCACCCGAGACGTGGGAGAGGAAGGGAGGGTGTGAGAGTCCTACCATGACGTAGAAGGTGGTGACCACGTTGAGGGAGGATGCGAATATGGAGCTCATGGTTTTCACCGACGGCTCATCCAGACTGTCGTAGGTGGGCAGAACCTGGCTGTGTAAATACAAGCGGCTTCAGAAAGCAGCTTCCAGAGACAGACACGCCCTCCCAGGCTGCTGGGCCCCAGGCCCCCAGCCCAGGGTCTCTGCCGCCTCCTGTCCCACCACACTCGCCACTGTGGAACTCAGAGCCGAGGCCACATTTCGCATCGCTGGGGGGCGGGGGCAGAGTACAGGGAGCGCCGCCCACTCAGAGCCCTCCCCAACACGCTCCCCAAAAACACTTGACAAGTGCCGCAGAGCGAAAGGCCATTTGTCCCCGAAGCGGGAGAATAACCGCTCCAGGGAGCGCTGGGCTGGGCTGAGGCAGCCGCTTACAGGGAGCAAGTCGGTTCAGAGCATCGCTGTCAAGAGACTGGAAAGGTAAACAAACACGAGCGGCCTGGACGCCCGCCCATCTCTGCGCCTCGGCGCGGGCGCTCAGGGCCACGTGAACAGGAGACAGAAAAGCGGCTTCTGTCCCAGGGCCCCGGGCCAGCTGCACGGAGCTGCTGGGTGAGAAGGGGATGTGTCCACGTGGGTCTCCTGCTTGCGAGAGGCAGAAAGGGGCAGGGGGACGAGGAGGAGGTCTGGGTGCAGCCCCTGGAAGAAAGCAAGGGGTGGCCTCTGCTGGGGCTGAATGGAAGGGTGGCTGCTCTCCAGTCCCGTCTGCTGTGGTCCCACTGGGCTCGCAGCCGTGGCCAGAGGTCACACTGTGCGGGAGCCCATCAGGACAGAGACCGTTGGCGAGGAGTGGACAAGCACAGCAGTCAGTGGAGCCAAACCCCAAAACCACCCTTAGAAGGTGCGATGCAAACTAAGGGAACACAGGCTAACTTTTCCACAAAGCAAACGGCCAGAACAGGTGGGGAGACCTGGCTGGCAGCAGCTGATGCTCAGTACCCCACCTGTGCACACAGTCTCCTCAGGCCACCCTCAGTGGGCAGGGGTCGCCCACGGACTACGAGGCCACAGGGAGATGGCAGAGGACTTGCAGGGGAAATGGCACAGACGTCGAGCGCTGACTGGCTCCTCAGGCTGGAGCAGGGCTGCACCGGGGAGCCTCAGCTCGGGGAGCAGAGTCAGGTCGGGACGGCGGCTTCCTTCCCCAGCCCCCACACACACGGGAGGAACCCAGGGCACTTATACATGACACGTGTGAAAGGGCAAGGTGCCAGCCCCGCTCCAATCCTGCCCGTGCCCGAAGGACCTGATGGCGGAAGCCACAGACCCCCACGGCAGCCCACCTCAGCACCCAGCGCACTCACAGTCCCTCATCTTGCTAAGCGGCCCCTGTGACTCAGTTTACCTGAGTCGGACAGAGCCTTCTCCGCGCAGCCCCGGGCACACCCTTCCTGCCCCACCGCACAGACGCGGGCCCCTCCATGCTCGGCGCTCCCCGCACCTCTCTGGGCAGGCGGCCTGGTGGTCCTGCCCTCCAGCGCTCAACATGAAGACAGACCAGAAGGGCCACACAGTGGTGGCAAAGCAGGGACCTGGCCGTCCCTGCAACAAGGAGACTAGTCACACGGACGGGGACCTGGCGGTCGCCAGCAACACAGGCGGCAGCAGACGCAGCGGGAGGAAAAGCTCTGCCCCTGCCCCGGGACCCCGCCGCTGCCCGCCGGGTGACACGGCGTCTCTGCAGGCAGATGCCCTGTGAGCATGAGCCGTGCTTGCAACCTCCCGGGACCTGCAGTCTGACCCTGAGCCAAACCCGATGCATGTGCGCTGGCCACTACATGGCCACCGCCTGAACAGACCAACCACAGTTCATTCTTAAAAAAGCAAACGCGAAACAAAAGAGGCGACTGGTAACCAGGTACCCGTTGAGAGAATGTAACTTCCGTCACCGATTACAAAAGGGACACTGAACAGCAAGAGTGAGCATGTTCTGGTGGAAACCGAGCCGCCAAGAAAGACGGGAAGAGGGGCTGACGACGTGGATCTCGCGCGTGGGTGAAAACACGGCGGGATGAACACGTTTCGCCACTGATTTCCGACTGGCGCGATCGTGCCCACCAGAGCGACGGGGGGCTGTTCCGCCAGCCCACGGCACACCGATGGTCTTTTCCCGTCCGCACAGGATTTACACCTCTCTCGATGGCTGCCGTTCCGAGCGGGCACGGATCACTGGCTCTCGGCGCTGGCAGAGAAGGTGATGCTGCCGGATTATGGAGACAGCCCGGTCTGCACTCGCGGGGCTCCGCGTGCCAGCGAGAAGGCACCCGTGCGTGCGTGCACGCGCACGGGCCTCTGGAAGCGTCCCAGCGACCCTCAAAAGTCTATGTTTGTGCAACTCCCTTTTTTTTTTTTTTTTTTTGCAACTTCCTTTTAAGGAAGGAAGCTGCTCACACGAACAGCTAACTTCTGGCAAAATGCTCGGGACTCTGCGGATCAGATGGTTTGGGCTGTTGCGCGCTCCCCACAGCCAGCTCGTCTCGTGGGGGACTTGGCAAACCGGGTGCTCTCACCAGCAGTGCTGGCGACATGTCTCGGGAATAAAGTCAATTTCTCTATGTAAAAAACATATAAAAATATAATGATCTCCCTCAACACAGAGCGGGGGGAAAGGTTACGACTGAACACAACACGTCCCTTCAGTGGCCTGTTATCCAGTTAAAACAGACGACGCCCATCGCCCAGCACCAAACCCCACCCACATCGAACTGTCCAGCCGCGGGGCCCCCGGAGCAGCGGTACTTACGACTGGCAGGCGAAGGACATGCCAAAGATGGGGATGCAGCGGAAGACGCCCTCCCAGCGGACATAGCTGACGCGGTGGAGCCACTGTCCCCCAAAGAGGTCGTGCTTGAGCGAAGACAACAGGATCTGTATGTGGAGGAGAAAGGTTCGAGGGGGCCTGTCAGCCACCACAGGCCTAGACCAGGCCGGACCGAGCACGGTGCCACCGCGCCCACGACGCCGTGGAGAGCGGGCGGGAGGATGGCCCACAGCGCTCCCCGCTGCCCATCTCGGCCCGCGTGCTCCCCGCAGCGCAGCCTGCTGCCACCAGCTGGAGGGCAGGGGTGCCCACCGCCCCAGTTCCTGCTGGCTGCTGGGCTGCAAGAGGAGCACGAGCCGCAGAGCCCGCCTGGCACTCGGGGGCAACGGCCCGAACAGGGGCCACTGAGTGCAGACAGTAAGCAGCGCGGCCCATTCAGCGTGCCCACCCCAGTTGCCTCAGGTGGCAGGGTGGACCCCCACCTGGGTAAGTCCTTCCCCATCCGTGTACAAACTTTTTAAAAGATAAATCCACGAGAACGGCTGTCTGGAGAGCAGTGGGTAAGTGTCACGGGCTGGCACTTATGGCTGAGGGCCTCTGGGCACGCCCCCAGTGCTCGGCCATCTAAGGAAAGCTGACTGCAGAGACCGCCAGGTTCCGTTCCCGGGGAAAGATCGTTTGTGACCGTGCCAGCAAACGGGCAGGCGGGGGCCCAGGTCCCTGGGGCTCCCACTCGGCCTCCACACGCTCAGTGAGGACCAGATGTTCTGAGCACCCGCCCCACATGGGCCCCTCCCATCTCCTCACTTAGAAAAGCGCTTGCCCGGTGACCAAACGCTGGCACTGTGACCCCTGGCCGCAAACCCACGTAAAACCCTTCTCTGCATGACCTTCGCTTCCCAGCGGACCAGCTTCGGGCCCCGCGCTGAAGCCTGTGTCCACCGGGCTCACATCACTTCCCAGACCCAGCCGCTTGCCCATCATCTCCAGAGGCAGCTGGCAGCCCGACACTCACCACAAACATGAACATGGTGTAGAAGATGAGGGCCATGGCGCTGAAGGACTGGATGGAGGCCATCATGTTCCGCTGCAGGCTCAGCGGGAGCACCATGCACAGGGACACCGCGAAGAGCAGGAGCACACGGAAGGTGCCAGTCACCTGGGGGAACCAAGCGCGGAGCTGGACAGGCGTCACCCAGCCCAAAGGCCCGGGGTCAAGTCCACAGCACTGGTCTCAGCCGGCGGGTCTGAGATAGGGGCTTAGAGGGGTGTCACATGAGCATTCTAAGACACCAGACACTGCAGAGGGTCCTCACCTGAAACCCAAACAGCCGAGCAAAGAAGTTGGACCCCAAGTCACCAATGACAACGTAGAAGGCAATGCAGGTCCCCAGCATCAGCCCGATCATGCTGCAAAGAAGGAGGTCATGGTCTTAATGGCATTCTGTAGGAGTCCGTGGTCTCTCCATGGTCGGAACCGGGCCGCTCAGCTGAGGCCCGGGCTTGGGCTGTGCTCATGGGCTGGGAGGGACCCTGATGCCGAGCCTGGTCCCCACGGACCGCTGCTGGCATGTGACTATGCGAGGCCGAGCTGAATGAAAGGCGGGGCTTCGCACGTTGAACGGTCAGCGCTCAGGACGCGGGGGCCTCCGCGGAGCCCTCCGCTCCACCGGGCCCTTCCCTGCGGGGCTTGCGTTCTCTCCACAGGAAGGGCTCAACGTTCCCTCAGGTGCTACAAAAATGCACTGTGACATCAGACAGGTGACAGGACAACCCAGGGATCAACAAGGATTCTTCCTCTGTTTACAGTTCCCGAATTTCGAAGCCTAAAGAAGGCGCTCTCCCAGCAGTTTTTCATCTCATAAAATTTTACTCCAAAGGGAGAAAAATATGACATCTACGCCTAATGCCACCTTGATGCAACAGCGTTAGAGGTGGCAGGTAAAAGTTTCGGGACCCGTACTGAGAGGCTAACTCTGACTGAGGGAATGCGATTTTGCTGTGTTCCCAAGTTTTCCATTTTTCATAATTTCCTTAGTAAGACTTAAATGAGGCTTTCCACTTTGACACTAATCACTTTAAGGGTATAATAAACTGAACTTTCAAATACTTAGTAAGTAATACTTCAGAAAAACATTGTGAGTTATGGGCTCATCCACATCTGAAGCACAGCATTCATTTTGTCGTCGAGTTTCTCTTTAGCTACGGGTGAGGGAGGGAGCGCATCGCCAAGCAGAGGGCACGTCTACCTGGTCTCCACCAGCACCTTCCCGGCTCTTCCGTAGGCGAGCAGCGCTAGTGTGAAAGAAGAGACAGGGTCAGTGCTCGATCCAACAGCGCCAGCAGCACGTCGGGAAAAGCGTGCCCGACAGAAGCTACAAAGGGCGATCTGACAAAACCCGCCGGTCTGCAGTTTCCCGGGCATAAGGGGGACATGTGTTTATTTTGGTCCCGTGATTTTTTCAGATCTTCAATCGACAAACGAAAAACAAATAAAATAAGAAGAAAGCAAGGGAAGCCAAGCAGATTGGTGTTTTTCACTGAGGAGGGGAGGGGAGGGCACAGAAAAGACCTCCCTGCTGGGAACGTGAAGAAGTAGCGTTTCCCCACACGGCAAGGGGGAGGCGCCTGTGTGTTGCAGGCCTGGGCAGGCGGGGACAGAGCTGAGAGGGGCCCAGGAGGGCCCAGCCCCAGCCTGGCGTGCCCAGTTCTCACAACTGGCACCAGAGGACCCGGCCAAAGACTCATACGTTCACTCTCTGATTTCAGGAGGAAATTTAGATAATGCTTCCCATATGGCACTTGGGGACGAGAGGGGACAAGTGCTCTTGAAAGGCCCACTCCCTCTCAAGGCAGACAGTGAAGGGGCCTCGCTGGGACCAGTGCGTCTCGCGTGTCCCACGGTGTCGGGAGGGCGCCCGTCCTTCCTTCCTGACCACGGAACTGCTTGCAGCTGACTCGGCCAGGCCCCGCCCAGCACCTTCACAGGGCCCGGTACCCCTGCGACCCCACCACGGCCCAGTGCGATGAGGGCAGAGGGAAGTCCCAGTCCCCCAGAAGCAACCAGAATGGGTGCATGTGACAGAATGGCCCCCGCTTCCAGGCCCTTTTCCTCCCTCACCCGGGCCAGGGACCCCCAGGAGCTTCGGAAAGCAGGAAGCGCGCAGGGTGGTTGGTGTGAATGAGTCCAAAACACCTAGCTACGGGTGGGCAGATGAGGTGGCCTGTGCGGGTCCCTCTGGCTTCCCCTGCTATCTGACCACTGGGTGGTGACTCCTGTCTCAGATGCGCGAACAAAGCCCACTGCATCACAGAGAACCCGAACCTGACAGGTCCTTGCACCAGATGCTGATCAAGGTCAAGCTGAGAACTTCAAACCTAAAAACTCCAGAGAGCAGACAGCGGCCCAAGGCCCTGCTGTCGCCGACGGGGAGGCCCTCCAAGCCTGTCAGTGACAGCCGTCAGGCAGCACACCCTGGACGTGACAAAAAGCCACGCACCCTGGACGCAGAGGTGGCGTGATCCACTCCAGCCTCCTCTAAAGGAAGCCCCGCACCAACAACGTGTGCCGAATACTCAGAGCGCCTTCCCCAGGCAGTTCCAGGACACGCCTGCAGCCTGGACGAGGCGGCGAGGGTCCTCGAGGTCAGAGGGCCGAGTCAGGAGGCCACACTTCTTCACCCAGGAAGACACAACTGGCTCCCAGAAGGACGACTTGGGGGCACCTCCAAGGTGCAGCCACGCCGAGAGGGGCCTGGTGTTCCAACCCCCCCGTCCTCCCCCTGTCCTTCGCTGGGCCAGGACCCCCCACACGCACACTCACACAAGCCCCCCCCCACACACTACCCCCACACACACACATCGCCACCCACATATACACCCACACAAGCCCCCCCCGCGCGCGCACACACACACACACACACACACACAACGCTTCAGGCGTCAATCCCTCAGCAACCTCTAATCCTGAGTCTCAAGCACAAAGTCCTGGCGGCTCGCTACCCCTCAGCCTCCTGCCCCGCGTGGCCCCGGGAGGGCAGGGGTCCCTGGCCTGTCCTCCAGCGGCTTCAGGGTGGGGCCGCAGCACCAGCGCAGCGCAGCCTGAGGCAGGGCGTGTGTGTGTGTGTGTGTGTGTGTGTGTGTGTGTGTGTGTGTGTGTGTGAGAGAGAGAGAGAGAGAGAGAGAGAGAGAGAGAAAGTGCCCCCTGGTGAGGAATGATTGACTGTTCCGAGAGTCAGGCCTTCCCCACAGGGTGACAGGTGCTCTGCAGCCAACTGGCCCCTGGCTGGCCACACAGGGACGAGTCCAGCACAGTCTGAGCGGAGCTGCGTCTAGAAAAACTGTCCTGCCTTTGCCCTGGGGAGGCCAGGCAGCAGCCACCCCGGCCCCCCGACACTGGGTCAGCGTCTTCTCTGGGGGCCACAGCCTGGCCCATGGCTCCGAGGCTGCTGCGATGGAGCTGACTCTTGTCCCACCATATTCGATCAGGACCCCAGCCCCACTCCCACCCTCTCCTCCTGCAAGGGGACAATAAAAATGTGCTTCATAAACAAAAGGTGGGAGGGTGTAAAGTCTCTGGTGTGGCAAAGCTTGGTTTTACGGCCCTCATTTCCCGAGCCAGGAAGCCACCTGTATGGGTCACACATCCTAGGACGGGCTGGAGAAACTGCTCTGAACGGGCCTCTGCAACCCCCAGCCCAGGAGTGTGACCAGAATGACAGACATTGCCCGGAACAGACCAGACTCTGCGGCCGGGGGCCTCGCTGCTCACAGCTGCGGGCTCAGAGCGCCAGCCCCACGCTCGGCAGTGCAGGTCTGGGGCGCGGAGCCTTGGAGGCAGCTGGCGAGCCGGTGCCTGTGTACCCCGTGACGCCGGGCCTGGAAGACGCCTCGGGAAGGGAGGGCCTGCAGGGCCGGGGAGGGCAGGCGAGAAGCGGACAACACTCACAGAAGCAGCCCGGCAATAGCAAACGAGACAGCGCAGACGCAAACACCCCCGACAAAGAGCCCGCCAGCGCCGACTCCCCAAACCGACCAAGTCGATTCTGCAGCACACACCACGCGCTGTGACCACTGCCGGGGGCTAAGCACACGGGAACAGTCGCAAACTGAAATCTGCCCGTCCAGGACTCGCATGGGGTTTAGATGGGCTACTTGTTGGAGCTCCG